GCCGATCTCCCCAAATTAAGGAAATCGGGGCCGATCGATCGGCCGGCCGATTTATCGGTGCACCCCTACTCCAAAGTGCTGATGACAATAAATTTGGGGAAAGTGCTGCAATACATTTTTCCCCTTTGTTGACCTTTAAGTGTATTCAGAAAGCCTCTTTCTTTTTCATCACAGGCAGGAACACGTGGGGATGAAAATGCACGTTGTGTTGTTTCAAAGAGGTCACAGAACTGTTTTTTATGCTATAAATGAAAATGATTTTTTTTTTTTTTTTTGTTGAAGCAAACGATGAGGATGATGAGATCCTCAACCTTCAGTTAAACCTTTTTAAAATAAATTCTTTTGTCAAGGTCGAAGTGCTTCTTTTTCATTTCTGGACTTATTCTGCTGAATCTGCAGCCTCTTATTCAGACCTATGATGCTTCATATTCATACCACAATATGTTTTTGTTTCAATTCAATTCAGTTTATTTATATAGCGCCAAGTCACAACAGAAGTCGTCTCAGGGCACTGAACAGAAACATTCATACATAAAAATAATAATTTAACATTATTTATCTGAGGAGCAGACTGCTTTGAGTTTAACTTCATTGCAGAACTCTCATCTTAAGCAAGCATGAAGGCGACAGTGGAAAGAAAAAACTCCTTCAGGAGGAAGAAACCTTTAGCAGAACCAGGCTCAGGACAAGCGGCCATTCGGCTGGGTTTGAGAGGAACAGGAAGGAGGAACAGATACACAATGGCAGGTCAAGATTCACATGTTAAGATAGAAATAGGATCAAATGAAAACTATTCAATTTTAACAATTAATTTTAAGAAATGAAGTCAATTTTTCCTCTAGTAGTCTAAGTCTATAGCAGCATAACAAGCCAACCCTAACTATAGGATTTATCAAAAAGAAAATCTTAAGCCCAGTCTTAAAACTGGACAATGTGTCAGCCTCAAGAGAGGAGCCTGATAACTGGAAGATCGTCCTCCCATTCTGCTTTTGGAAACTCTAACTGCGAGTAATCCTGCAGTTTGAGAGTAAAGTGCTCTGTTAGGAAAATGTGGAACAATAAGATCTCTAATGTAAGATGGAGCTAGGTTGTTGAGAGCTTTGTAGGTTAGAAGTAAGTTTTTGAATTCAATTCTGGACATGACAGGGAGCCAACGGAGAGAAGCTAAAACTCCACATCTCCTAGTCATTAGAAAAATCAACGGAATCATTGCATTGACTGACATCATGAAAACACCACACACACACAAACACTAATAAGAATACACTGAAGTTTGTACCTTGACAGCCACCAGCATCTTGTCCTTGGTGGGGCTGAGGTTGTAACATTCTGCCAGGAAGACTTTACCGAATGCTCCTTCACCCAGCTCCCGTTTCAGGATGATGTCTCTCCGCTTTATATGCTGGACAACTAAAACAAAGGTGGGACAAAGAATTAATGAAATTTCCTTTTATAGCACATGGTACATTTGATAGCAGATACATTCTTGCTAAACAACAACAAAAACAACAAAAAACATGTCCAGACAATTTATTTCACAGTTAAGTCTCCAAGAGAGGACATGCAGGTTGACAGGATGCAGGGAAAAAGAGCAAGAGATCCCAAGACCTGAAACTACTTTATGTGTTTTTAAAGTCTGGTCAAAATCTCAAGCTTTTTAATGACTGTGCTGAAAGACGTCATGATCATTTACAGTGTAAACAAAAGTGCAAGGCTGTTCTTTTCTTCTGTTAGTGAGCATTTAAAAATAATTGTGTGAACCTGTTTCTGGGAAAGTTTAAAAAAAAGTCTCACCCTGTAGGATGTTGTCAAAGGCTGAGAATAGCAATTGATCCTACTTTGAAACTATTTAAGACAGAATACTGGGAGCTATAAGGTTCAAGTGGTTTTAAATCCTTGAAGTGCCAAAAAACAAGAAAATGACATCAGACCAGTCAAGAGCTCGTGACTTTTTTTTAGTTTAGCTGTCTGAACCAATATGTCACAAAAAGGTTTTCTTATATTAAGAAATAACTGCCAAACGTCAGACACTTCAATACAAATAGTTACATTTCTGTGTCAAGACTGCTTTTGTTCTTTTCACTATTGGAGTTACTTATAGTGTTCGTGATCCATGAATGAAATCTTGTTTTTTTTAATGATTGATTATCCTTTAAAATAGTGGCTCCACAGCATAATGTAAGTGACAAAAAGGCAAGAGCAGGTGGAAATAGTTTGACAGAAACTGGAGTGTGGGGAGTTTTTCCTGAACAGAACTACTCTTTGTGGCTCACTCTGAATAAAACATGACAGTTTGTAGATTCACCATGAAAGCTGTGGTGCTCTGTTAGTGTAGGTCTGCACACACAGAGTACATATAGTGTCCACAAGACATTTAGATCAAAATCACCATGCTGTATGAGACTGGGCCTCAGAGCTTCAACTCTGCAGCAGCAGCTCTGTGCTATATAATATTAATGAGATAAAACTGTCAGATTCCTCCTTAGCAACAAATATAATATAATAGAAGTAAAAACAATCCTGATTAACACAACTAACAGTGAAAATGAACTTTTAAAATAAGTTTAATTTTAAAATCTTCAGTTGGTGTTCAGTAGTTTTTTTTTCATTGAAATAAATTGAGGGAAATGACACTAGTTTCAGGAAAATCAAAAGTCACTGTATATTTCTAATTTCTACCTTTTTTTATTTTAACATTATTCTTACATTGATGTGCCAGTAGTTTTGCATTCATTTTCTTATTCTTTGACAGCGTTATTTACTTTTATTACACTCCTGTTGTTTCATATGGTGGGATGCAAAGCATTAATCTCATAATACAGCTTCAGTCTTCCTGTTTTTAAGTCACCGCGTCTAATGCAATCATGGGAGACAAATAAAGCCTCAAAAATATAATCCATCCTCCATCTGTGTGTCCTCTGCTTTCATTAAATCAAGCCTGATCATTGGATGACTGTGCTGGACAAAATGGTATGGAGCAAGGAAGTGCACGTAGGACTTTTCACGGGCCTTTAATGCACTGATTTCCAAACACCGATGTGTCTGCACTTAGAGCACATCAGGTGAAGCATCTGTTCCCATAAGGCCGTTTGATCCTTCCATATGATAATTAGTTTACTTGCCTTTATCTACTGAATGACTGTCGGCTTAGCCCGGCCTCCTGAAGGTACTGTTTATACAGATGTTAAGCTCCTGGTTTACAAAGGTAATGCTTGAAACTTTAAACTGAAACAACATGCCTCAGTTTAACATTTACAATAGCTTCCGCCAAGTTATTTGATCTACTAGTTATTGGAGTTGCATTTGGGCCTAAAAACTCCGACCCGGTCATGCCCTTGCCCGTAGGCATATTTTCTGAGCCCGACCTGACGCAACTACCGTAATTAATTGTAATTATAGGCCCAAACCCGAAAAAAATTAAAATACTTTTTTTTAAATTAAGCTTTCATTGTCGTTGTAAGCAAATCAGTTTGACATGATAGTTTAAAAAAAACTTACTTCAAAAAGAAAGGAAGATATAAGAGTGCTTCTTTATTAGTCACCAAATGGATTTTGATATACAAAGTGAATAGCCTAAAAAAATCAACTCTAAAGATAGGCTATTATACAGATGAACAAAAAAATTTTTAGAACAAAATTACTTGTGGAAATAGAACAAGGCTATTTTAATTGAACACGCTGCTCGTTGCAGCTTTTGTAGCTTCAGATGCTGCAACTTCCTTCACTGCAGAGCAGGTGTGGAGCGGGACCAGTGCAGCCGATGATCCGGTTGTCCATCTGAAGCTTAATGCGACTTTTTAAAAGCTCTTTCAACTGCCGGTTGGATCTGAGCGTTCACCTGACACACATCAGCAGGTTTCACTCTGCTGGCTTCGTAGAGTGAGTCCGTTTGAAGCTTTTGTTTAATATTTTTCAGCTCTATTATGTCACTTGTTGTGGGTCAATTGAAAATCCTCAGATGTGTGATAAGAGCAAAGGGCAGGCGGGGCCACATGCGCAATTAAAACCGCATCACAAGCTCGAGCCTGACCCGGCCTGCCCATCACATAATTTTGGCCTGACCCGGCCAAAATTTCGGGTCGGGCACGGGCTCGTGCCAGAAATTGCTACTCTACTAGTTATCCCTTTTTATAATGGCTGAGATTTATTTTATAAAATCTTTGCAGCTCACAATGTAAATTTTAGAATATAGTTAAATTTCATCCATCTATATATAGTTATTGTCAATTCTTGCTTGACCCCTTTTCAAGGCCACAGGGAGCCTTTGGACAAGAGGCAGGATACACCATGGACAAGACACCAGCACATCACATGGACACGTAGATATAAACAAGACTAGGTAAATAACCTGACACACCTACTTTAGACTGTGGAAGAAACCATGAGTATCTGAATAAAACCTAGAGAGAAAAAGGCATCAAATAGAAGTTGAACGTTGTCTTGCTGAGAGTGCTAACCAGCTATTCCACCATGCAGTTCATATCCTTGGTACAACTGAACTAATGTTTTTGAGCTATTGCGTTGTTAAGGTCTATTTAAGAGAAGGCCAGTCTGGTTTTATTGTTAAAAAGAACTGAATATGAATCAACCTAATATTTGTTTGAGTTTTAACAAACCAGCCATGAGGCTGATTTTATTGTCCATTTTACGCAATTCAGACCTAAGATGCCTTCATGACATAATGGTGGATTGTGTGAAAGGGTGGAACAGGGGATTGAAACTGACCCACTACTGTTTTGCCTCTGAGTTAGCAAGAAACAGTCACAGAGCCAAATTGGAAGGTATGCGTGAAGTAGCAGCTAGTGTTGTGCTTCACTTTAACCAAAGCTGTGGCTGTCACTGGTTCTTTGATGATATAATAATATGTGTAGGCAGACATTGTTGCAGGATTTGGCCAACTTCATTGGTTCATGTGTGAAAAACTAATGGTGGCATAAAGAGGAGCTCATCTGTTGCTTTTTCACCAAGTCATTAAGAGAAGAAGCTGGGGGCAGCTTATTCCCTGGTACAGAATTTCTCACGTTGTTTCTTTCTGTACAACCTATAAAAAGGCAACATCTTTGCAACACAAAAGTGGAGATGTCAACAAACCCTTTATTGGCTGTAACACTCTTATACAAAGAGTCATTAAACGATACTCAAATCAAATCCCAAACAGCCTTTCCTGTTAATGTACAAGCTAGACTAGTTTGTGAGAGGATCTGGATGTACCTTTGTTTCCTGCCTTCCTCAGCGTTCTTCCCCCATGTAATCACCTCGAGCTCCTGCCTCTGTCACCTGTCTTCCTTGTTGTCATTCCTCCGGTGTTTGTGATTATCCCCTCATCAACTACGACTAACACAGTGGAAATACTTTGTACAGTTATGCAAGTTTTAAAACATTAGCACCGACTTTGCCTACAGATCTATTCCAATACCAAGTGGTACGATATTTTCAACAACCTAGCTCCATTTTATATTACAGATCTTATTGTCCCATATTTTCCTAACAGAGCACTTCACTCTCAGACTGCAGGCTTATTTGCGGCTCCTAGTGTTTCCAAGAGCAGAATGGGAGGAAGATATTTCAATTATCAGGCTCCTCTCCTCTGGAACCAACTTCCAATTTCTGTCTGTGAGGCTGACACATTGTCCAGTTTTAAGACTGGGCTTAAAAGTTTACTTTTTAATACTGTAAATCCTATAGTTAATCGGATTGGTTTCCTGACTCATTCCTTATCCTATACTGCTATAACCTTAGAGTTGAGGAGAACAAATTGATCTCCTTTCTTCAAATGAACCGTTACAAATACATACAAATGAATAGTATGTACTGTATATGTAATTATTCTTTCTTAACATGTGATTTCTCTCTTTATGTCTTTCCTCCTAGAGAAAACCTGATGGCCTCCAACCTGGACCTGTCATTGTGTTCTTCTCCTTCCTGTCCTCTCAAACCCAGCCGGTCAAAGCAGATGACCGCTTCTCAAAAGCTTGATTCTGCTGGAGGTTTATTCCTCACAAGGGAGTTTTTCCTTTCCACTGTTGCCTCTGTGCTTGCTTAAGATGGGGAGACTGTGAGGAAATGAAAACTCAAAGCAATCTGTTGGTTCCTTAGATATACATTGTTATTAACTGACTTTATATGTATGTGCATGTTTCTGTTCAGTGCCCTGAGACTACTTCTGTTGTGATTTGGCACTATATAAATAAACTGAAATTGAAAATTTTAAATTCTTGCTAAATGCGTTACTCCCAACATTTCAAACAAAGGGCTACTGAAACTGACACAAGTATTGTACGGCACTTAACTTGCATTCATAATCTGACACTGCAAGTTTATAACTTGTTCCTTTAAGTTATGTTTTTGAGTTCATACATACATACATATATAAAACATATAGTCTTGCTATAGCATCGCATGCACCACTC